TACCATAGTGATTCTCCAGCCGCTTTCACGTTTACCGTACTGATATTGCATGAGTTCGTAATGCATGCAGGAGTGTGTGAGTGAGGGTTTGTTAAGGTCATTGTACTGTAATATTAAATCTCTAATTGGGTGTGTGTAATGTATGATTGCACTGGCATATTTTGTGAAATTGCCACTTGTTATAAGGACACTTCTTTTTTCTAAACAGGATGAATTATTCTCTCATGAGTTAGGCTACTATGTATGATGGAACTAATTGGCGACAGCTAATAAAACAAGTGATGAAGTTGTGGCTTGAAGGAGTATAGAGCCAAAGAACATATACGCATGTAAGGAATTAATAGAATTTGTCAATGCCAGACTGCCTTGCCTACTGTTTACCATTTTCATGGTCTCTCTCTCTCTCTCTGGCTTCATCTCTGTATAGTGTACATACATGTAACTTTGAGTGATCTGTTATTTTTTCACTCATATCAAGCCTGATGGTAAAATTTTATATTGCATTTCCTCTCATTTTTTTTGTATTTTCTTCTTGTCTCTTCTCATCTCGCCTTTCCTCTATTGAAACTTATTTAAAGATGATGAAGCAGTGACCAACAAAATATATTTACTTTTGGCAGTACGTAAGATTAGTGGTGGTATCAATGTTCTTGTTATTATAGTTTTAATGCATGGTTTGTATATTAATTGTTACTGTTCTTCTTTTTCTTCCACTCTCCATTATCCCCTTGTACTATATAGCAGGGTTACGTCTTGACTACGTGGTTGGTGGTGGAAGGTTTTTGACATAATTGATGGGTTAAATTTTGGTGATTTTATTATGTCTTATCTTTTACTTGTCAATGATCACAACATGTAAGGAACAATAATGCTTGTAACAGTGATGCTCTCTCTTTCTGTCTTTTCTTCCCTTTCTCTTTCATAGAAATTTAAAAGGTTATTTGTTACGTCAGTCTTTTTTCACTCCAACAAAAGGTAAAATTTAACTTAATTTATCTCATCATTCTTCTTGTTCTCTCCTCTTTTCTCAGGCCTTTTACTATCTAAATCCTCTATAATTTTATATAGTTTAACGAAAGGTGAGCCATCAATAATGTTACTGATTTGTGAAGAAAGGGTTCACACAATTTTTTCTTAATCTTATTTCTTCCTTATTTCTTTATCCTTATTTCTATTTTGTCTTTAGTATGTGTGCATATGACAACCTGTCAAGAAGATATAGAGAAC